TATTGCTATCTGCTCCATCCCTGCTCTGTTATCAGCACCAAAACCATTGTGATTATGAACTAGAACAAAAGCCTCAACAACAATGTGGTGCTGGAATTTCAATTTGTTTGTAAGAAGGAAATTTTCTTTCCTTTTTCCCAGAGCTTATCTACAAAATCTAAATTAGCTCACTAAAATATTTATTTCTGCATGGTGTTCAGATATGAGTGCCTAAATGATTATTCAACAGTGAAGAATCATGCTGTCTTATCTCACTCAACTATTTTGATGTTTGGATATAAATGAAGGGATAAAATATTCAATTTTAGTTGAACAGGAAATCAACAGAAGAAATAGTAGATACAGATATATTTTCAATGTCATTTAAAAATGAATGCAGTTCTGTTTTAACTCTATTTTATATGTATTTGATATTGAAACAAGCAAATGAATGCACCATTTTTAGTAATATTTTGTTGTTTGAGCACATTAGTTGAAAATTAAGTAAATATCACAGCCCTATGCTCTGAAGTTCTCTATTCAGCTGTATGTTAGCAGTGGTGCCAAAGGGTCAAGTGCTGTTTTCTGCCCTGTACACCAACTGTCTGGGAAAGTAAAAAGTAGTTTAATCTAGGTTTGACTAGCAAAAATTAGTTTAACCAGGTTTGACTAGCAAAGAGGCTCTGTGGCTCAACTGGTAACAGTGTCTTAAAGTTAAATCACTGTAAAAACTGATAGTCTCCATCACTGGAAATCTCCAGTAAATATGAAAGAACAACATGAAATATAACAGTTGGAAATACGTGGGAGTGTTCAAGACATGACATCTGTGTTGGAACATCATATGCCACCATTTCTTTCAGCTGTTGAGAGCAGATGTCCCATATCTGCCTCTCATTTAAAAAGGAAAGGAAAAATATTTAAGAGTAAAAAAACAGCAGCATTAGGACAGAACATTTTAGTTTTTACAGTCATGCATAACAAAGAGGATTACAGTAAATGATCTTACTTTCCTCATATGCTCCTGTCTCTTTTAACACATGGATATAGTGTTTATTACTGCAATTTTAAAAAAAGTAATTGTTGCCCTCCTTCAAGTCACATAAGCACTGAGTCCCAGACCCCCCCATCACATCTATTTATAAAATATGTGTCTGCCTTTTGAAAAAAAAAAAAAATCTTCAGATTTAAATGTCTCAATTTCTTTGCATTGCAAAAAGTAAAAGGTGCCCTTAAAGGGTAAATTTTCAACCTGTCAAAAATCTGTTTCTCTTATTTCATTTGCAATGAACTTTAAACATAGCAGAACTGCTGAGAGGAACCAAGGACCTCATAAACAAGGGGAACTTCCCAGCCCTATATCTCACAGCCACACATTTGGCCATTCTGTGTACTTCAGCAGCACCAGAAAAAAACACCACTTCTCACTCAGGTGAGAAGGCCTGAGGAACAGGCAGGAGGTCCCCTGCTTTTGTGTGTTGTGTGTACTTGGAACAAAACATTACTAAGATGCCTGGGAACCAACAGCAAAGCACATCATTCTTGTCACCAGAATTTCTGCATTTCTGGTAACATAACTTGCACCACTTTGGTGGCAGGATATGCAACATGTGGATCCCAAAAGACTGTGAGGCTTAAAGACTGTTGAGCTTCACAACAGAAAATGTAACAAGATAAGGAGTTTCCCTGATATAGCCACTTCTCTCACTCCTTTCTTAAATGTGAAGTTGCCTTCAAACTGAGTATAGTGTTAAAAACTCTGTCAGATTTTGATTACTAAGTTGAATGGTCTAGGTAAAATTCAGACTGGTTGGTTTGACAAAGTTTTTTGCCTCGTGTTAGAAGGTATTTGTAGTGCTGGAGGGGATTTAGAAGAAACTATAAGAATTATTTACTGCAGTAGAAAAGGCCAGATTAATGTAGGCTTCCAACAGCCCTACATCTTTAATTTATAAAATAAATAAGAGACTACTTGATTACAGCATGCAATTATCATCTGGGGAGAATGGTGTAAAAGGAGAGAAAAATTGGATTAGGAAGTAGGCCATGTATACATCACAGGCAGGGCACCACTGATAACCAAGGACAATTGCATCCTCTCTGTGAGGAACTTCCAGATCAGATCCCTTACAGGGGAACACACTCTGATTAAAGAAGTAATGTGGTCCAGCACAGCAGCAAGTCCATGGAGCTGAATGGCCTGTCCCCTTCAGAGACACCAGATCATCATTTGGCCTTAATATCCTGATCAGGCCCTGCTAGTCCCCAAAAACAGGGAGGAGCCTGCCTCTTCAAATGCAAGGCCACCAGCAGATAACAGCACCTCTCTCATGGGATATATTAACTGTCCCGTTCAGTGTACCTAAAATATTATTTGAAAGCATTCTTGGAGATACTTAAAATATGCATCTTTTCCTGTTTGAGCTTTTAATGAAAGAATACATCCTGAACTGACTTCAGGGAGTGAGAATTTGCAACCACCTTTTAAAATCCAGACTCATATGAGCATTCCCCAGTGGTATTTTTGGGCTAAACTCCTGATGAGGAAAAGACAAAGCTATGCTTGAGCAAAGATCTGACAGGGGAAAATGCAAATCTATGTGTGAAGTGACTTTATAGAGAAAACCTGACAGGACCCATCAGTTCTTTGCTTTGCAGACCACTTTCTTAATCATAAAGACAGGTCCTGTGGCAGGGATTCTTACCTAGACCTCCAGGCAGCTCTGAAAACACTTGCTGGGCTGGAGCTGCTGTTCATGACTTTTTGCCAGGACAGAGGCTTTGCAAGTTGCTTGATGAGAAACTGTATAAGCAGAAGCAATATTCCTTCTGTAGTTTTAAATAAAAAGAGAAGTTATTTGACTGTGAACTTTAAACCTTCATAGGACAAGCTTGTACTGATATCATGAAGTTCCCTGGAAAATACCGAGAGTCAGACAGTAAGGCAGGAAATCCCCTGGCAAGACTTTCTTTGTGATTTCACTGCTAGGAAGCTCACTGCCAACACAAGAGCAACCTCTCCTAAAATGGGCACTAGAAGTTCTATCCATTCACTTAATATTTCTGGGGGGCAAGTTAGGCAATTCCTATTGACTAAAGTCACTTAATACCTTAATGGAAGTCCTGAGAGGGCAGATAAGCCACGTGGACATTAACATCTCTATCTGCATCAGAAATACTGACAAAACCAACAGCTGAAAGAATACTGGAAACTTGTGGAGGAATTTCCAGTAAAGACTACTCAAGCACCAAAGCACTGCTGCAAGGTAGCTCCTATTTCTCTCCCACTCATCTTTCATCTTTTCAGTCCAGAGGAGGGGGAAAAACAGCACACTTTTATGCCCCTTCTGTAAAGTCTGGCCCAAGGCTGCTCAGAGGAGGAGTAAGAAGGCAAGGCATACCTTGGGGGGTCTCACCAGTAACACACCAACCCCAGGATGTCTACAGCAAAGACAGTATTTCAGGATGTCATACACTGGCCACATTCTCCGGTATATACCCCGAGGATTGCTCAGCATCAATGGCCATTGAATAAGGAATGTTGTATAGTACATTTCTGTCTACTCCCTTTTGGGTTTTTTTATGGATCTTTAGCCCATTACTTTTTCCATTCTGCTTTCGAACTAATTGATACTGTTATTCCCCTAACCCTTCTGCAGCAGCTTTCAGTAGATTAACATTCACCCGTAAAAAAGTACTGTTTTATTATTTTTATTAAAACACTTTCTCCTCAGTTTGCATATCCTGTAGTTCTGGAATTGCATGATTTAGCAAACAGTTTTGCATCTGTTGTTTGCTATCAACTGCTTTCACAACTTGGAAAACATCAGTCAGAACTCCTCCTCCTTCAGCATTCTGTCTCCAAACTGGAAAGTCCCAGGCATTTTCATTCGCTCTGTTTTCCAGTCCTCCTTCCCTGTATCTTTCCTAGCTATCCTTCTTGCAATACAGACACCAGAACTTCACTGATTAGGCAAAATATGTGTGCACCAAAGTTTTGCACAGTGGAAAATATAATGCTTTCTGGTTTATTCACAAGACAGAATTGAGACAGGCCTGACATTATCCTGAATAAATATGCCTGGCACCACCTCCAAGAAATTTATGTCATGGGCCTGTCAAAGCTCTCCTCCTCCTCTGTCTTCAATCTTTTCTTCACCCTCCTACTGCATGCTCACATTTCTCCAAGCCAAGTCCACACTGCTCTCCCATTTTTCTGCTACACCCCCACTTTCCAAGCCTCCCTTTCCAATTTAGATAGACTGGATGAACTGATTTACTGATTACTGCACAAAACACTGCTGAACACAGTATGAAAAACTATGGGAGATGTGCACCACTGCCTCATCCCAGAGCTAGCACCTGCATTTGCATTGCTGTTGGCAGCAGTTGTCACCATGTGTATAATGTAAAAACATATTTTTTCACATATCTCTGCCTGAGCTTCTTGTGTGCAAGTTTGGAGGAGCCAGGCCCACCTTCCTTGCCTAGCACAGTGGATCAGGCCACACTGCATCAGCATTTCGACATCTCAGCCACAGAGCCTGCGTCCCCACAGCTTTGCCTTCAGTGCTGAACATCAGCACTCAGATCAGTCAAAGCACCACTGCTGGTCAGGAGAAGGGAGGTAAGGAGGAATAGTATCAAATTCCACCTTTCTTTCCCTCAATCTTTGCTTCTGCACAAGAAGTTTACTATTTTCACAGTCACTTTGCCAGCTCTGGAAAGTGTGTGGTGAAAGAGGCGCTAACCAGAGTAGAGCATGCAGGCACCGGCTCTCTGTTAAAAGGAAACTTGTCAAGCATGTGGTTCAGCTTTTCACAGTGAGGAGCTTGGGCGTTTCTTCAGGAAACACTCACCCACCATTGCCGAGGTGCACAGATTTTGCCTGTGCCCCCTGCCTATGCCTTGAGCTGCTGGCCTTGTTTGTGTCTCTCCCATGACACCCACAACTGCTGGACAACTTCCTTCCACAGTAATGTGTATTCTGGCATAATGTTAAACACGCATCACTAGGGGGATTTAGTCAAAGAAAGCTACTCATAGTTTTATTTTGCAGTGGAAATCTGTAAAGCATATTTACAATCCCCTTATATTTTACAAGAAAGGTCTGATTTGGCTCATCACAAAATAACGGAATTCTGACATTGATCTGAGAACAACTGAAGTCAGCAAGAACCTTAGCAGTCCTAGAACTTACTAGATTATAACCCCAGACATTTTTTTAATAATATTTAAAATAAAATGTTTTGCAAATGAGCCTCAAAGGCTTAAATTAGTTAAAATTTGTTAGAAATGTATAGCCCAGTGATTGTGTAACTTCAGTGAAGATACAGAGTTTATGGCAATATCAAAGAGAACATTTTCCAAACATTACCACAACCAGACAAATTATATTAAAAAAAATTCATGCTACAGAATAATACAAAATAAAAGTCACCTGATCAGCTCAAGCAATATTGATTTATATCTTTGAATTAACAAAATTTCTCTGTACATTTGCAAGAAGATTTCAGTTTTACAAACTGATATTTAGTTGAACATATTCATAACACAAATTATACACTATGTACAAACCTAGTTCTCCACAGAACTCTTTGTTCAGAATGCTTCAACACAGAAATGATTTACCAATTTCTAGTTCAGGATTCTAGATCTTCCTTTAATTTAAATACCAAAACACTTATCAAAACATGAAAATAAGCCCATTTGCTATCATGTGGTGCTGTTCTTAAGTCACTTGTTTGTTACCATATGTTACTGAAGAGTAGAACGAGCCACAGCAATAAATAAATGTGCTTATTATCAACTAAAGATTTATATTCACATGATCACACTTTCAACCTGAGTGCTTTTACAAGACTGTAGGATCCATTGATCTTTGCTTGTCTTGACACATAGATCAAAATTGCAACTGCAGGTACCGCTACTGCTGCTACAGATGAGAATGCAATAATCAATAGTATCATCTGATCTGGTTCTTTCAATCTTGCTGAAAATGAAGACAAAAGGAGAAAAGAAAGTGTAAATATTGTTTGAAACAGATACATGTGCATCACTGTAAAAGCAGTGTTATTAATGACCTTCATTTGAAACATATTTCTATTTTCATGCGCAAAGCATACTTTTTGTGTTTTCCTTACATTTTTTTCTTTAGAACTTCATATTACATACTTTAATTCCTAGCCACTATCTTGGTCTTGAATTGGTCCATGCAAGTTCAAACCTATCTGATATCATCTACAATGAACAATACCATGAAATTCACAAAGAATGCAAGAGGAATACCACATATTATACCCAGCAAACATTTAGGTATGTTTCAACCTCCTGAAATTCATCCTTCAAGGGGAAGACCATATTTTAAAAGGTAAATATTTATCTTTTTTGTGAAACCTTCTCTGGATTAGTCTCACTGTCCATGCATGTGGGCAGAAATGCAGCCAGGAATCACCTTTTTGTGGCCCTATCCTTAAAGCTACCACACCAGCTCAGGTTAAGAGAGACAATGACAGCTATCTCAATCTCTGTAATGTTCTTCCAACATTATTGAAAATAGGAAGGACATATATACGTGTATAATTTTTGCTGACGCTGTAGAGCATAAAATTTCCATTCACTGATGGCAGAATAATTTCTCCTGAAGGGTTTTTTTTCAGGACCATCTCTGAGGGTGTATGTGCTACATGTAACAGTGATATTTTCTACTTCTTTTACATTTTCTGATGGATATACTAACACAGTAATATTTTGGAAAGGGACTGAAAAGAAATTCAAGGTGGGATTTAGCAACAAACAGAGGCAAAACTCATGAGGCATCAGCAGCATTTACATGCAAAATACTAATCCAGTAATGGGACCACTGTAGTAGTTGAGCCTGTAGCTTTAGACACTGCTCTGTCACCAGCTATCCTTCACCTCTGAAGCCAATGGCAGCTGGCAAAAAGAACATTTTATTAATTGATAGAGTATGTTGCATAACTTTTACATTATATAGAGCCTCTTCTTCTTTTCTTATTTCAAATTCACAGTTTATTGGTTTGAGTTCATGAAAGGGCACAGACCAACAAACCCAGAGGCTGATGTCCTCTTTCAACAGAAGAGAAATAGAAAGGCAAAAAAAGGAGTCCTAGAACTGTTTTTTTTTTTTTTTTTCCACAAGGTTCCCCAGTTTTATATCCTGTTTTCAAAAGATGAAGTGGAAATAAAATAAAAAATTTGAAATAAAAAATTTGAAGCAGCAATTATTTTATACATCTGCTATTTTGGACAGACATTTTCATTAGCATTAAGATCCTATCACTTATGACAAAAACCTGTGCAACTCATGTCAGGTTTTTTAAAGACAAAACGTTCTTAATGAAACTGAAGATGTCACTCTGTGTAAAACAAATCCTAGTATGAACTCTGCGCAGCAGTTATATTAACTAACCTTTGACATAAGTACTACGTGCTGAGACTGCTCCTCCAGTTCATTAATGGTATGCATGTGTATTTTCCTGCATCCCTTAGTCGAGCCCTGCCTGTGGTATATTTGCTATCTACTTTTTCAAGGGTTGTGAACCCATCACCAACTTTCTTTTACAGACTAGTCCTAAGAGATGTAAAATCTGCAGATATGCAAGGAATAGTAACACTTTGTCCTTGTTTCGCTTTGCTTGAAGGGGAATTCAAAAGTGTATTTTTTGGTGCAGCTATAAAAATAGAAAAGAACAGGGAAGAGAGCTGAATTGGTGGCAGAAGTGATCCCTAAGCAAGACACTGTTGCTATGCAATAGGCAGAAGCAGCAGAGTTAAAGCAGAGAAGTCTGATTACTATTGAAAATGAAACTTGGCTATCATTCCATCTAAGTTGAGGAATCAGCATTTCTTGTAGCTGAAATGCAGCTTGTAAGAGCACGAAACAGAGCTGAAGCTTAGGGAAGAAGTAAGGAGCTGCTTCCATAGAGCAGCTTCAGCATGTACTGTCTCCTTGAATCTTTCCTATGCAGATATCCACTGAGGCCTGCTTGGAAGGATATTTCCTTCCAGGCACTGCATGCCTTCTTTACCTCATGCATTAACTCAGCAGTTGGATGGAGTGATGGAAGCCCCATCAACTTAAGAACTTTTCATAATCTATCTGTACTAAGGCAGACTTCATGCTTCATTGTTTAAAGCTTCCTAAATCACTTAGTGACATTAGGGCCACCTTTTAACTCCATTGACATCAAAGACACAATTACCTCATTCTTCAAGAAGATCTGGACCTAAAATACATAAACCAAAAAACTTGTTTTCTGTCTTGATCTACAAACCTTGAATATATAATTCCACAGCTTTTTCTTCCTTGCCAAATTGATTATAAGCTTCACATTCATAAAGCCCCAGATCTTGACTTTTCAAGTTTGGTATAGTTATAGTTGCATTTTTAGAAATTTTCTCAGACTCTCCAGTGGCCTTCTTTTTCTTCCAGGAGATCACAGGAGATGGATTACCAGAACTAGTACATTTCATTGTCACAGTTTCTCCTTCTTTAAGAGCAGCAGTAGGGAAAACAGTGATCATTGTATTCTTTGGTCCATCTGAAAGGAAGAGTCCTATAGTTAATCATCACTGGATTTTTAAGAGATGGGTCCAACATGTCTTATTGGATACTAGACTGTCACCCCTCCCAAAGCTAATTTCTTTTTAATTCTCAAAACAAAAGTAAAGCACAGGGTATCAGAGTTTCTGTACAAACCTTCCATGGTCTAGACATTCCAACCAAATACTTGTAAACCATGTAGATCAGTTTCTCACTCATTCAGATCTGTACTAAAGACTGTCACCACATTGAAGACTTTGTTATTTTGTTTTGTTCATCAGCACTTCTCTTTTTTAGGGAAGAGCAGAGGACGATGATGATTCTTTGTTCTCACAGAGTTTTGTTTAATTTGATGGTAATATTTATCACTGAAGAACTAAGTAATTATTTATAAAATACTGGGAAAATTTTACACATACTTACATTTCACATTAAGTGTGATTTCACTTTTACTGTTCCCAAATTTATTTTCTGCTACACATTCATAGTCTCCTCCATTTTGGAACATCACAGATGGAAGACGAAGAATATTCCTGGCACTGTAAGACTCTATGTCTGCATTGTCAGATTTTCTCCTTAAAATAATCTTGGGAGGAGGGTTACTTTCAGCAGAACACTGTATGAAAACATTTTCGCCCTCCTGAACTGTTGTAGAAGGTTCAATGGAGAGTTTTGTAATGACTGGAGCACCTGCATGACAAAAGAAAAGGCTGTTAGAATAATGCAAAGGTACAAAAGATGGAGGAAGTTTTAAGAAAGCAGGAATTGCTAGCTCAAGGATCTGTTTATTTTGGTTTTGATCCCAAACTCAATCTAAGACTTTTGGCTCTGTCAAAACAGTAGCAGTCAATCAATCAATAAAAAAATATTACAACAACAATATTATTATGTCCAAAACAGTTTTACCATTAAATGCCTAATGAATTTAATGCTAATGATTAAAACTACTAGTTCAAAGAAGGAGACTTAGGTCCCTGTGATACTGGTATGCACATTACATTTCACAGAAGTAACAGTGTGTGTCCCACCACCTTCTCAGACTCTTTTGTGACTTATAGTGCTGCATTGTGGGGATATGTATTAAAACGTGCATGTACAACAGCAGTACTCAGAGAATTAGCTGAAAATTAGATACAGAAAGAAAAATTACAGTGCATGAGGAACAGCCTTAAATTGAAGCTGAATCCTGAATATGTAGCAAGGAAAGCCCCATATTTTCCTAATTTTCAGTGTTTCAGCATCCTCCAACCTAACAGAGGTCAGCCAGTTAGGAACTGGATAATACAAGTGAAACTCAAACAGATTTGTACCTTGTATAATAATGTCCACAGTTGCTTTCTCTGTTTTATTAGTTACCAGATTAATTACTTCACAGATGTACAGTCCTGAATCATTGAAATGGACATGGGGAATAGAAAGAACATTGTTTTTTATCAGATGCTGAATGTTTTCTTCAGCCAAATATTTACTCCAAACTATTTGTGCTGGTGGGTTACTCTGAGTCACACAAGTGAGGTTCAGAGAGTCTCCTTCCATTGCTGAGTTGCCTGGAGATGCAGTAATGACAGTATTTTGTGGACCAACTGTAAGAGAACAAAAGGAAGAAAAGATCCGTATGTAAATGAAGAATGACATGCACATCTCTAACACTAGCTTTTCTAGAGGTACATGTCACAGAATACCAAGAAAGAAATGAAAAATATGTATGCCAGTAGCACAGTGGAACAATTTTTCCAGACTTAGTAAGATGTTTTGCTTGCAACTTTGAAAGCTAAACTAGCCAAAGCCTTTGTACAAAAATACTTACAATTTGCATTAAGTCTCTGAGAAGATGTTCTTTCTTTGGGCTCAAAATCCATATCAGCAATTGGTAGCCTGGCCACACAGGTAATCTCTTTTCCAGCATCTTCAGCCATGGGATGAAATGTATATGTCACATTTTTGGTCTCTGTATTTGTGCTGTCATCTTCCAAAAAATATTTCTCATGAAGAACATGTTCATCTTTCTTTAGGAGAACTTCCAGATGATCAGAAGGATATACATCAGGAATTTTACAGATGACAGTGGCTGGTTCTCCAGCAACTAAGGATGGGCTGATCTCAATGATAGGATCACTGGGGAAAGCTAAAAGAATAAAAACAATTTCTTTAGACTAGCAGAAATGAACAGTAGGGTCAACATAAGAGCAAGATCCAGACACCAAATGTCTTGAGTTTAGAGGTGCTCAGAACATGACATTCTATCAACATTATTACAAGACATATCTTGATCTGAAGACCTACAGGTTCTTTATAAGCAGTTCATGTAGTGACAGGAAGTTTATATGTACAATTGTTGAAACATGACCACAAAAGATCAGTAAGATTCAGTATGGCACCTAGGCAATGATACAGCTGCTTAACTATAGGCATTCAGAGAAATCCATACACTAGTGCTATCCTGTTTTCTGTGCTGGTAGGTTTAGACATCTGTATTATTCTGCTGCAAACGATGAAGGCTTTGATTTTTATTCCCCCAGCTCTGGGAATGCATTCAGGCAGTGCATGTTCTGGCTTTCAAGAATTACCAAAATAAGAATAAATAACACTAGTACATACAATCTTCAATGCAGAAAGCTAAGTAGAAATGGTCTAAGAATGTGCCCTGAACAGACACATAAAGGAATCTCAGAAGGAAGTATATGTTGTGCTATAACACTCATTATCCTAGAATTAAAAGTTAACTGGTAACCACAATATCTAAAACAACTATTGAGTTTCCTATCAATATGTATTATTTAAAGAGAATTTTACATTTTTACTTACAGTAAAGTTCAACTTTGACACTCTTCTCTTTTTTCTCTCTCTCATCACATATGACAGTACAAAGATAAGAATGAGAGTTCACAATGCTAACTGGATTAATAGTCAATGTAGAATATGTCCTGTGGTTGCTGACTTTTCCTCCAAGGGGGCTGTCCATCTGTGTTCTCCAGGAAAAACTTGGTGATGCACAGCCAGTAGTATTGCATGTGAGTATGAGTGCATCTCCAATCTGTGCCACAATTCTCTCAGCAGGTATAATTTCCATTTCAAAAGCTTTAACTACAAAAGGGAAAACACACATCAATTCATCAGCTTTCTCAACTTTTATCTTCCTATTTCTTCTCATGTTCTACTGTGATATGAGGTCTTTATGCTTCATTTCTTTACTTTATGGTTGTGTGGAAGTTAAACTAATAAAGCTCATACAGTGGTTTACATATTCAAAACAACCCCCAATCATTGTTATTTTTGTCAAAGACAATACAGACTCAGATACTGAGTTTTCATGAATAAAACAGCATCAACCAAATATAAATAAATGCATTGGCACAATATTTTGTCAGGTGGATCTGGTTCTAAAACTTTGTAACATTTGAGGGGAGAGGTAGCAGGTAGATAGCAAAGACAACAGCAGAAACACTTTCAACAGGACATTTAGTACCAAACTTGCCTGCTAATGTCAGGAATGAGTAAAAAAATCAAGCATCCAGTGATATACTGCAGTTGTCTCCTAGACTGTCTTTTAGCAAACTCAGTAGGAAAATGACTGAGTCATAGCAGAGCACAGAAAAGCTCAAAGTAAATGTCAAAAAAAACTTCCTGACATTTTGACAGAGCTACTTAATTGACAGTTGTATCACTGAAATAAAAAGGTAACTGGAGAAAAGAGAAATAAATATCAAACAGCAAATTCTAGGTCAGTTTACATTTAACAAAGTTTAAAAAAATAAAACAAACACCACCAACCCCCACCTTCCCCAACTTACCAGTTCTTAACACACACAAAATTACTATCACAGCCTGGCTTGTTCTTCCCATCTCTTTAAACATTTGTAATTGCTGTTACTGGGTAAAGAGAGTAAATTCAAAAGTTTACTTTCTATTTTCTGTGAAGAAGCGCTGTGAGATCTTGCTGCTCTGCAACAGCTTATTACAAGAGCTCCAGCTTGCTCTTTATAAAGGCTCTCTCTCCTTGGTACAGAGTGGGAAATCCCTGGATGGGGAAATCCAGAGCAGGGAGGAAGAGACCCATATCGGGCGGTGTCCGTTGGCTCAGCGCCCTCTGCTGCTTTAGACACAGCCCAGAAAAAATAATAGTAACACTTGTAAATATAGTGTCTACTACATTGGAAAAAATCTGTTTCAGATCTGATCCTGCAAGCAACTGATAAAATGAAAGAATGATTGTAAGTCCAAGTAATTGAATGCAACTGTATCTCAGATAAAAAGTTATTCAAATTTGCTTTTAACAAAAATATTTTTGTTTGGATTGAGTTTTCAGAACCATTCTAACAATGCTCAGCTCTGTAAATAACATTACATGACTCATTATTTCCTTTGAAAACTGTGCTACCAGTTTAAGAGGTGTTGTTACTCATGTTCCTAAGTATTTTTGATCTCTAAAAATGAAGAAATTGCTACAGTGGGTTCTACCATAATATTTTCTTTTTATTATCACCATCTTTTTTTTTTTTTTTTTTTTTTTTTTTTTTTNTTTTTTTCTTTTTTTTTGAGGAGAAGGAAAATAAGAAGAAGGAGAAGGCAGAGAAGGAGTTTTTTTATTTTTTTTTGGAGGAAGAACAAAACACTCCTAAGTGTCACAAAATGCGAGCAGAGTACAGTTCTGGAAGTACTGCTATCTAATCCAAAAATGCAAGAGCTATCCATGATAGGAAATAACACATCTACACAATGTGATTTTAATGCAGAGAAAATGGTCTTGTTGAAGGAAAGTGTACTCTCTTACTTAAGTTGCAAATAATTACTTTCAAATCATAGTCAGAGAAAAGCAAGAAATGAAACTCTTCTGCTTGGACTGCTTAAACAATCATCAGAAGCTAAGCTGAAAGGGCAGTATTTCCTTGTTTCTGGGAAGTCAGTTTCTAGACGGAAAAAAAGTTAAACATAGGAGGTGATATCTGCATACTGGAAAAGTTTTAATCAAGCCCTTCATCAGATAACATTAAATAGGAAATAACTCTGATCCTGCTCTCAGTAAATTAAACTGGGCAGCTGCCATTAACTTTACTTGAGCTGGATCCTTACCGGAGGGATTACTATACTGAGTGATCAGACAAATTCAACTCAGACAGTTTAGGTAAGAGCAGAGTTAGCCAATAAATATTACTAAGGGAAGTAAAAATCTGCCAAACAAATTTTAAAAACTTTCTCTTTAAACAACTTCAAATGTAGGCTTTCTATGTATTTTAAATAGAATATGTACATTTCTGTTGCTCCTACTACCCTCAGCATCAACCTCGAAATAGGAAGATGGGCACCAAGTAGGGTTATTTTCAGAACTGTCTGTTCTGTCTGTAAACAAACAGAGATCAGCTGGCAAGTTTTAGCACTTGACCTTGAGAGTTCAGATAATCTAGTTTTTTATTCAAACAGCACAGAGGAGGATGCTGGGGGTAAAAATAGAGGATGCATCTACATCCACAGTGAGATAAGTATTATAGTACCAATGGAAAAAATCTTGACATATGCAGAGTGTAATGAGGACTGGAATGAAACAAGTATTACAAGAATATTACTAAAGGCAAAAAAGATTAAAATAATTAAGCACTGGGATGTAGCCACATGTTTTTCAGTGCATCTAGTAATCGAAATAGACTTCTAAGGCTTTGATGGACAAACAAAGATAAAGCAACTATTCATTGTAAAATGGAGTTTGGAAATATTGAACACAATTTTTGCCCTGGCATAAGAAAACACAAGCGTCATTCAGGAAATTAAAGTTTACATCAGACTTGTCTGGAATTTAAGAAAAGAAACCACTTCAGAACTGTGCTAATTATTTGCTTTAACTCCTACTTCTGCAATCCTATTAAATACCTACATTAGCTTCCTCTAAGCAAAAGAGGTAAGTTCTTGAAATGTTAATGAATTATTTGAACAAAATGCACATTTTCTAACATGTTAGTTTTCCAACGTTTATATACTTTTTCCTGCATTTTTTTGTCCTGTCTCATGGAGGCTATTAGGGGAAAACTGGAAAGCTAACCTTTTGCAGAATCTGGATTCTCAAAACTTTCACCACTGGTTTTGTGATTTTTTGGCCAAGGACCTATGGTGAAGGAAGAGAAATTTCCTCTGTCCTTTTGACAGAGGAAATATAAGAAAAAAGAAGGTAGAAGGAAACTCATCTGATCTGACATTCCGGTGATAGGATGTAGCAAAGTCTGACTCAACAGTTCTTCAGCCTCATATCAAAGAGGTGTTACAGCAAGTCCATACTTAGGTCTCCCATTCAAACTGCAACCCTCACACATCTCAGGAAATATTCTTGGGATGTACACTGGGGATCTGAATAAAGAAAGCCTCGAAGTTTCAGATGCTTTACAGAAGCAGCTGGGATGAAAAGCTTCCATGCAAAGAGAAAGAAAAAGAGCCAGAGGACTGTGCTGTAACTCAAATAAGAACTAATCTCAGAGGGAAAACACACATCAGCAAAGAAGGAATGCCCTTCAGGTACCACATGCAAGGTAGTGCTTTTAATATGGGATAAAGTAACTGAAAAAGCATGAAGCTGGAGGACATGTATGAAGGCAGCTGATTACATGGCTAATACAGCAGAAAATGTTCTGCCAGCCTCAACCTTTTCGTTCTCAGCAACTTCAATAGCTTGCTTTATGGGTTATACACTGTCTTCTTCCCCAGCGCACCTGGATTTTTGGTTCCCAAAGCTTCCCCAAAACTTTGCTTCTCCTGACTCCCCTCCACCTGCTTTCTCACCACCTGACAATAATACAATCTCTGTATAGCCCCAAGAGGGGGAGGAGAGCATCACTGACTCCCTATAATTTTCATCTCTGGATGGGAAGGATGAGATCTACATGCATATCTATTTAAAGGGTTGTGTCTGTTTCAGGAACTGTAACTTTGTACCTAACTACAAAAAGAACACCAACGCATTACCCTGTAACCCACATCACACCTCACAATTGTACTCCACATCTAACTTGTCATCTATTGCAAGAAGAAAAAGATAAAGAAACATCTTAAGAAAGTTTTATCATCTGCTTTTTTCCTTTTCTGGAATTTCTTAAATACCGTATGCAAAAAGAAATGCATCTATTTCCTCCATTATCTTTCTCAGGCACCAGCTTTTCCGTTAGGACACTTCCTGTCTGGTTAGTCTGAAGGCAACCAGAATCCACAAAGATGCCAGATAAAACAATACAGAAGTGTGATAATTTGGGTAGACTACAGAATAGCTATTCTCTTATTTTCTTCTATTCAGAAGCATTGTCTACTTCACAGAAAGAACAAAAATTTAATCTAATAATAAATAAAAGCCACTAGAGAAAAAGTCCCTACTTTTTATCTTAGTCTTCTGTTACTGGCAATAAACATACTGTGGAAATTCCAAACTTTATTTCTAAAAAACCAAAAGTATTATTTTAATGGTGCTAGATTTAAAAATTAAACTGTTGGATAGCCTTGAAATCCACATGCTTCAAGTGCCAAATGTTGTATTCCAAGCCAAATTTTATTAGTTTGGATAGCTGAGCTCCCGTTGCCTTCATAGTGACATAGGTAAAAAGAAGTTTCCCTCCTGACATATTATCTAGTGTATAACAAGATTCAAATTCAAATATGAGCCTTGGAGTATTCAGAATCTCTTTGGGAATTCTAGACTAAGATTTCAGATTCACTTTTATTTTGATCTGAATATACCAAGGCATATCAAAATAATTTGTTCTCATTGGAGAAAACGACAAAAAGCCTCAGACAAAACTCATTCAAAATGGACAGAGTGAAAAAATAAAGTGGGCCTTGGGTCAACATGCAGATGATAGCTAGAACTCAGGATATGGCAAGGTAAAGTCAGATGAAAACATTTAAGAAGGAATATGAGGAAGTTACTTAATTCCCCCAGTATTCCACAGGAAATTCTAATACAATTAAATCTTGTTGTGTACTTTATTAAAGCCTGTATTTCATATGGTCAGAAGAAGTTTATCAAGACAGTGGTGGAGAACTTTTTGACCAAGCTTTCTTGTTGCTCACCAGCAGCAGCTCTGCAATACACTTGTTCATCAGTCACTTCCCTGTTTCCCACATCCTTCCTGCTGTTCAGTGATGAGGTACATGGATGTCCCTACGGACCAAGAAAGAAAAAGGGGAACGATGAAAGCAAAATCTGTAACAGACCATTCCACCTTCAAGAAATACTGAACTTGGATCCTCCTACACAGGCTACTGAAAACTGCATTGCTACTAATGGATTATCCTTCAATTTATCTTCCAGAATATATTACTTTTTATTCTCTTACAATGGTTTATATTCTGAAATACTGTGCTTGGCTGGGTATTTTTGCCGCCTTGTGTTATAGAAATGTTATCTTTTTTGTCCCAGAGTGGACAGGCTAGAAATATTACACAGATGTCAGAAAGTCATTAAATGAATTAACTTTTCAGGATTGAAGATTAATAATTTTTAAATCTTCCATATAGGTAAGGATTACAGGGATCACTCATTTGGGTTTTTTTGTTTGTTTGTTTGTTTGTTTTTTTAAGATACACACAAATGAAATCTCTCTTTTACCTAGATTTTGTCACCTTCCCCTCTCTGGAGGTGGACTGGAAGTCCTGAAGAAACTGACCATCCAAATAGAAACAACTGGGAATGAACTAATTTTTACTTCCATCAAGCCAAAATGACATGTGTTCAAGAGAAACATTTTTCAGTAGCAAAATATGTATGTTTGTGTTCCTGTACACATACTGATAAATCAAGTAATGCTTGAAACCAGCTGCAACTCTATGAACGGCCTGGCACCCTGCTTTTGTCTCTTGAATGTGCTCTACCCTAAATAAAAAACATGCTGTTTTGTCATTTGGACTATTTCCCTCTTTCCTTTTTCTCCCCCCCAAACAGTTAGGCATCACCTCAACTGCTTTGGTTATTAACACTTTCACAAAAGGAATATGACAAAGTAGGAGTGGCTAAGTGATAAAAACCATAAGCAGCTGAATTTTTCTCAGCAGGGTAAGAAAGATGAGAGTTACTGGAATTTATTTCCCCTTCCCAGACAATTACTTGGCTAGGCATCAAAGCCCTGGCCCCTGTAGTCTGATATAGACAACTGAGCAAGAATGACTTTCATAGCTGTGTCACCTTTTATCACAGACCATGTTACTCTCTCATGATAAGAGAGGCAACTTGAGAAATGTGTCACATGTTTGAAATTGCTCTCAGGCAGGATAAAAGTCTGTACTGAATTAGTATGAGAAATACCTGACTTCCAACATTCTGATACTTCTTAGCCAAGGATTTCTCCTGAAATTTCCCAAGAACTGTATGTGAATACCAAATTATAAGTAACAGATGGTTTAATGACCCTCTTGGTTGGAAAATATTGCATTGTTTGACTTAATTTCTTACTATAGTTATCTCCACACCATGAGGAATGGCTATTGGCAGCTCTCTTTTAACAGCTCAGGTCCAGGCAAACCTGGAGCTGAATGAAATCACCATTGACTAAGTGAGATGACCATGCACAAAATGCTAGGGCTTTCACTTGGAAGCTGGGACATCTGCATGGGAAAGGGAACAATTCTGTGCAATCCACAGTTTTCAACAGATAAAGAAGACACAAATGTTTCAAAAGCAGCATTGAATCCTTTTGTGGATCAAGGATCATCCAGTTAAGTTCTCATAGGCTCATGAGCTTGAGATTAATCTTACCTCTGTAGTGCCTTTCAGTACTCAGGATCTCAGCAGCATGGTGACTTGGATCTGCAAGACCATCAGGGTCCAGGCACAGGAACTTCCCAAGATGTATGATGATGAATTCATTAAGAATTTAAGCAAATCATCTTACACCGAGTCCCCTAGATTATTTGAATGAATGTAATACAAACATCTCACACTAAAAATAACACTCTAGGAATTCTCTATTATTGATTTAAAATTGTTTGATATAAACCCATCAGCCTGTAAGTGATCTATTATTACATTTTATTATACTGATTCACCTGCTATGGCACCAAGATCCAGCTGCTGACTTTGCCTTTCTTGCACTCTCGAGTGTATTGTGCCATGACTATTGAATTTTTGTGGCATGAAGAGATTTTCATTCTACCTCTAAGGGCAGCATATGGATCCTGCTGTAGCTCATGGTTTCACAAAATGTGCTGTGACATAGCAAATACAGTCTATCAACAATTTAGGATTTCAGACAATTTAAGAAAATTTGTTTCACTTTATCCTGCATATTGTATTTATTAATGGGATTATTTATTTTAAATATATTTTTCTAATTCATTAATTAGAAAATTAATAAATAAAAATTATATTTAAAGATTACTACAAGATTTGCACATTTAACTTAAAGAAGGATAAATTTTCAGGTCAAGTCTACAGTACAGAATGATTGTAAGTATGATGAGAAATTTATCAAAAGGTTGAAAATTAAGCAGTGTATATGTATGTGTTCAAAACTCTGTAAATACCCAGGAAGAAAGCAATTACTAAATTAATCTGCACTCTTTACTAGTTCCTACTAGCTCACCATATTCCCTTTTTAATAAAAGAAACAACTACTTTCTAAGTAGCTTCTTTTTAAAGGATTTTACAGTTGATAAATGCTACTAATTTAGACTAAAGCTACAGATGGTTATAAAGATGAATAAATGAGGAGACAACAATCCTGCACAACATTCCTTGTGAAGTTAATTTTGTTTTGTGAGTCACCTGTAAACTTACCTTGATCTTTTACTTTCTTACTCTTCCTAAAACATCTAATATTTCAATGAATGCATTTCATATCGTGGCACTAAGCCATTTTCATAAGGATTGCTATAATGTGCCATTTAAGATTCAGTTTATCCTTCCAAGGCTGTTTTAGACAGAAAATTAAAGCAGAAACTCAGACAACCACATTAGTGTTTTGACTGGCAAACACAGTTACCTATGGGACTTGAGCACAAATAGCACTTTTCTGGCACATAGCTGTAAAGCAAACCATTGTGAATAACTGGAAATCCTGTCAGGATCTAATTAGCAGAAATAGGGCATAAAACCAAGAGAGAAGTTGTCTGTGACTTCTTGGTAATCTCATGATTATGGAGTGACATCAGTTACAACAATTTCATAGTAACTCCTTAAAGTAAGTAAGGATTAAACACAGGGTAAGCCTAACTTGATATGTGATTGGAACTTCAGTTTCACCTTGGCTGTAATAGCTGGCTGTGTCTCAAAAGCAAGACCTCTACATTATTCAGAGGGCTCTCTGGAGCTCATGGAATGTCAGGGGCCTGCAGGGAAAGTGAGTGTAGCCTGGATTGTCACGTCTGGGTTTATAACACACAGAAGTGTTCAGGAACAGTGAGAGCAGCTTGATGCTTCCCATATGAATATGCAGGAACTACCCAGGAAGCTTTAAAATCTTGCTGTTAAAGAGAAATGAAATCTGCCAATGTAACAGTGCTTTACAGAGACATAAATTCCACAAGTTCTTCTCTGAGAAACTTACTAGTCAAGGTATGCATGAATGTCAGACTCTGTCACAAATGCATTTGTAGAATATTCAGGGTCCACATATTAAGAGGCTATTTGAAAGAATGTTAAAACAATTTATTTTATCATGAGTTCTTTCTATGTTAAAACTTAAAATCTTTCTTAAAAAACCAGGAATCATTTACAATTGCTCCACAAAACACAGTAATTAATGCAAATAGATAAAAGAACAAAAAACAGAAAAAAATGGTATATGGGAAGTAGGTATTAAGGAAAATTCTGAAAACAATATTAAATAGTCTTCCTTTAGTATCTCAAATATTTCACGAAATTTTTTTTCTTATGAAGTAGCTCAAATGAAAGGACAAGTGGTGCTAGCACATAGAGTTAAGATAAAAAATATTACAGAGAATATTCCTATTCTCGTATTATTTCCACATATTACAAAACACATTACATGTTTTGCATTGGAGGTTATACTTTTTAACTACTTTTGCCAAAAGGAAACTTTTTCATAATTAAGTGCTGCTGCTGTTTCTCCCTTATATTTAGAACTATTTGCTTATTATCTTTTCCAGTGTGTATTAAAAGAAACACAACTGTACACCAAAGCATTTGACAGAATGGTGTGCTTTTGCAGGACAAAGAATGTTTTTCCAGTTAATTCAATATTCCTCTAAACCTTGGTAAGAATAATGGAAAGTAGTCCAGAAGCTGGCTAGTACCTGACATCTCACTCCTATTTCCCCATTTCCAGTCTTTTGGGACTGAAATCCTGTTTGGATGTGCTCATGAGTGTAGTTGTTACAAAGAGATGGAAATGGACAGAATACACCTACAGTAGATGAGTCAGAATTTTTCAAGCCAGGATCCCATCCCTGACACAGGTTAAAAGCAGATTAAATGATAAAATCTTGAGAATGGTGGAAACACAAGTGATACAATTGCTTACACATGGACTCAGAGAGAAATGGTCTCTGCACTGGGCCTGTGTATTTGGGAGCATAATTCAATACAAGAAAAATCCTATGAGCAAATGAAATTTGAGAAATATCCAAGAGATTTGGAAATACAATTTTACAGATGCATTTCTAAAGCTTGCAGCCTTTTAAAACTTATCCTAAACAGCATAGAAAAATAGAAATTAATAGTATTAACTAACACTATTTCAATTAGAACTAGGAATCACCTGCTCTGTTCTGCCTCTCTAAAACCAGCTCTGCTGCTTTACTCTCCTCTTGCACTATACTACTGCAAAACCTTTTCCTCCTGCAACTTCAAAACAATCTCTGTCATTTCTGAATCTAGAACGCCACTGAACTTTATCAACTGAGCTCTTAGCATCCCATCATTGCACAGAGCCTGTGTCAAAGTTTGGAACTGTCCCACGGCTGTTGCTGCCTGCCAGGGCACTGCTCCCAGGCCATCTCAGTCCTGGTACCACAGTTTGGCTGTGTCACCATCAGCTGATTTTGCACTACAGGTGTCAGAGAGCTGCTTGTTGGTGCCCACTTGTAAACCATAAGATTTCCCCAAATTAATCATATCACCTTCTTACTTAGGTTTGCTTTCTTGGCCTAGTCTAAAGCCAAGGGACGCAAACAGAGAATCTTCAAGATAACACTATTATTGTCCTCTTCAGCTGTGTAATGACTTACTAAATGATTTTTAACCCTGAAAACACCACATTTACTAACACTGCAAACTGGAATGACTGAAAGGCTAGGAAGCTGCTTTGCTTGCTTCACTGCAAGCACAGGTTGCTGTAACTGAAGTCATGAGGAACATGATAATTTATAGAGCTCCTGCTATGCTGGGCTGCTCAGCCCAGGCCTCAAGGGCAAAGCATGGATGTAGTTCAGAAGGTTGTCTTTGCCACAGAACAAAATTTTGCAAATTTTATCACAAGAATACATATCTTTACTTGAAGAGTGGAAGTTGGCTTTGTAAAATAGCTTGAAAATCATGTAAAAATTGATCTCAAAATGCAAAGTTGTTCCAAATGTAATATATTAAATAGAAAATCTCTAATACATATAATCAAAATCACTTTTCTTTCTGTAGTGTTTCTTTCCATTCTCTTGGAAGGAAGTTAGCATTTTTCATTATAATAGCATCTATTATCTCTCTTTAAGCATTTCTCAATTTTAGCAGAGAAGACTCCGCCTTCTCCCAATACACAATAAACAAATCTTTTCTAAGGCTTCAGTCCTTTTCAAAGTCCCAAAGTCACACATGGGATAAAGAAAGAAACAGGATGTTAAAGTAAATTACACAAAAATAGGAAGAAGGTTGTTTATGAAATGGCAACCAGAGTCCTGACATATACAGTATTCTCACTGTTTTTTCCTTTGCCATAAGTTTTCTGACCCTTCTGTTTTTTTGTTTTGTTTTGTTTTGTTTTTTTTTCTGGCTGATTTATTCATCAGCTTTTTCTATCACTATGGCAAAGGCAAATATCCTCTGGAAGGAAGATATTTTCCCTCCTCCACACTTCCTCTGGGACAGAAAAGAAAGAACATCAATTTATTATCCTGCCAAAGCTGGCCACCTGGACAGACACCCATCATTCTCAGAACAGAAATGCAAGACTAGAGTGTGCTCTGGCAAAATCTGCCTGAGGAACAGATCATTTACCACAACTGCCTTTACTGTAGTTCCAGTGTTTAACTTACAGCAATAGTCAACAGCAGTGGCTTCAGCAGAAGATGAAGACTGCTCATAACTGGCAAAGTTCGCTGTTCAGTTCTTTAAATAATGTCCTTATTTGCTGAGATTATGTCTCCTGATTTGAGGTATGACTTCCTTCTTTAGCTTGTCTCACTTTTCTGCAATTATTCCTTCAACAGTGAAAAACCACAAAATTGTTTTAGAAGTCAAAACCCATTCAGAATGAATAATGCATACAAACACTGGTAAACAGTGGTGCATATAAATTTGTCTAATTTGAACATATTATCTCTGAAGACAGAAAGAAACTTCACAAAAGTTTCCCAGCTACAAATTATTGTATAATCAGACTGTATCAGCTTCAGGAATCACAACATACTTAAATCAAGGAAATACAAAACATTAACTGGAAATGAGAGGAATTCTTACTTATTAAATCACAGTTCATGATAATCTTAAAATTAAAAAAAAAATCTTCCTCATTTCATCTATGCTGTGATACTTATAGCACTTGAACTGCTTGTATTTAGTCTGTGACCTTTACATTTGACCTTTAATTGAAATAAGTTATAGAAAGGCAGATAAAAAGACATTAAAAAAAAAAATTAAGGTTTATTTAGTGATTTATGTATATACTGC